CAGAGGAACAGGTGGGTAGAGGTCACTCTAAATTATTCCAGCCTAGGTCAGTCATAGATCACTGACGGATTAATCATCATAGGATGTTTGTGACCAGTATCTATATTTTATTTTCTTCTTTTCAGAACATGACATTGAAGGACCAGCTGAATATGGAGCAGAAGAAACGTCAGCAGTACATCACGAGAAGCAGCAAGACCTCAGATGAGATACAAGACCTCAGAAACATGCTCAGTAAGTACAGTCAGTAATACTCAGCTTCCAAGATTGTAGTTATAGTGAAACAGTAGATGACTTGGCTAGGGCTAAGGCAGCCACCGGCTGACAGTTGTAGCCACTTCTCATAGCTGTCTGTGTTAATCCTAGGCTATGTTCAATTTGGGCTTTCAGAGCTACGGCTATGTCTGTTGTCAGTGTGTCCTTGCATATTTCTTATGGGTGAAGAACTCAGGGGTGAGATTTTCAGCTTTTTAGCTGGTTTCAGCTTTTTTTTTCCTCACTGGCTGTGTACAAAAGTATAGCAGATTTTCACAGTTCAGCTTCCTTATGCCTTTTTTCAGCTGTTTTCAGCTCAATCTCACCCCTGAGAACTAGACTTAGCAGTAGACAAGAGACCTGGATGCAGCCTGAGCCTCATGTCTTATCAGGCGGGCCTTGTCTAGTACCCTGACTCCATGCCGGATATTGTATCACTCACTAGTACACACTTCCATTCTCCTCCTAGGTGATTCCTTAAACACTGTCTCCCGGGACACCACCCTAGATCCTGTCCTCCTCGAGCACGAGACACGTAAGCTGGATGAATCTATGGGCTATGGCTCAGGCTTTGGGCCCACCTCGTCTTTGACAGGCAAGCATCGTAGCACACGGAGCTCATCACCTGTCCGTCTGAGTGCCCAGGCTACTTCAACTCCTGCACCTGGTAAAGGTAGGTCACCGTTACCAATCTCCTGACATTGATGTGAACCTTGACCCTTTTAGATACTTCAAACTGCACCTGTGGGATTGTGCAGGATTGAAGAACGTAGATTCCAGTCTCTCGTTCTCTTTCTGTGCATTCCACCAAATGGTTGTATTTCTGTGCACGAGCTCATTAATATCTTGTGATCCAACAAGGTTTTTACATTAAGACATGCCATAATCAGGAGGGATCATAGCACTATTTCTATAAATCCCAAATCACAAAAAGCCCCAACCTTTGGACCTATTTTGGATGGAGACAGGTGGCTACATTCAGAGCTGAGCGCATAGATTTGCTACTACTTTGGGGTATCTTCGGGGAAAGGTAAATAAAAAAAATTGCATGGCTAACCCCCAAAAATTAAAACAAAAAGTGATTTTCTGGTCATAATCTTGAATTTCCAGTGAAAAAACGGAGGCCAACCTCTTCACAAAGAGTCAACAAGCGGCGCTATTTCGGTCCAATTTTGCAGTTTTCTGTGGGCACGTATTTGGTGTAGTGTAACCCTGAGCCCCTTACTAGTTCAAATGAGATTGAGTTCTGCACAGCCGAGGGTTTAGGAGGAAGATAGTAGTAATGAATTCAAATAGCCCGGTATAGACGACGTTACTCATGATCATGAATGTATTTTACATTTAATGGCCATGTTTGTATACTGATTGCTATTTTCACTACAGTTGTGAAATTTGAGTGTTTGAATGAAGATGTCCTTTGTTTAATAATCAGATTTTTTGTAATTTTTCTGTATTTCTCAGAGTCCAAGATAAAGTCATCCCCAAGGACTCATGATCGGACTGGTTCCATTGGTCTGAGCCCTGTCACACGTCGCTCTCTCAGAAAATAAACCGTAAGCAACTTGATTGATTTTTCTTCAGTACCTGCAAGTAATTCCAAGTATCTAAGAATGGAATTTGGACAGGAGGTAACATTGTTTCAAGACCTGCCTTCAGAGTGACGCTAACATGAAGGCTGATTTCTGTGGGTTTCTGAACTGAAGAGAGTTGTTTAGCGAGTTGATCATGTCAACAAAAACTGTTAACAAAACAGTTCAAGAACGTTCCACATCACAGAATATTTAAGGATGGTCACTCCTTTCTTTGCCAAAAATAAAAACCCAACTTTCTGTACTCCGTTACATTTATGCGGAGCAGATCCTTGAAATAACTCCCTTGGTGAGTGGTTTTTATCGAAGCTTTTTCCCAGTAATCTAAGGAGTTCCGATCCATTCTTTAACATTGCTGCTGTACACAGAAGCCATACAAGTGGAATCAAATGGAAATGGTTGATGTATTTATAAGTCATGGTTGGTATCTGGTTTGCCAGAGAGAGATGTAGCCAAACGCTAGCAAGTTTGTGAAGTAGAAGTAGCAGTTACTGTGGTTTTTTTTCGGTCAACAAAACTGAGTCGTTGTGATCTCTTTCTTTTCAAACCAAAGCTCGTTGACGTTGTTAGCAGTACAATAGCTTGTACAGTGTACCTCTAATTAGCCTGATCATCTTCTATTTTAACTGTCCAATTCCCTTCTAAACTGTTTGCTCTGTGAAGACCTGTTGAGAAAGAGGATGATATGATTCAAATTATGTATCCGGGGGACAACAGCTCTCTTTGATGCTGAGAGTTATTTATCTGGTGCTAAAATTGTTGGATTTAGGTTCAGTTTTGGTATCAGTTCTTCTTGTAGAACTACTTTGGCTGGCACTAAAAAAATATCCTTGAAGAGAAAAGATTGCATTTGGTAAGGTCATTTCCTGTGATGTGGTTTGTTCAAAGAAAAAAAGGAAGTCTTTAGCTTGACAGCTTTAAAAGCAAAATGATTTCCTCCGAGTTATCTAGCTGAGAATTAAGGAAGAAAAGACTGGCATTGAAAAGATCCCCAAACAGTATTATACAGATACAGATTGATTTCATGAAGAATTGCAGTGGCTTCTACTGTGCTCAAAGTTCATCATATTTCATGTCAGGCTTGCATATGGCTCTTGACAAAAATACCTTAACAAGTGTAAAACTTCATCTTCCATTCAAAACAGAAAAGGATGCTGCTACATTAACGACTTTCTCTTTAAGTCAAGAGTTAATTAGGCAAGCTCAGGTTTGTTTTTGACCCAACAGTAATTAATAATAATTCAAATGAGCTGAATAGATCAATATGAATAGTTAAGGACTGTGTCTAAAAATGAATTTTTATCACTTTCAAATTGCACATTTGGAAATTCTAGTGAGCACATTTGAGTAAAATTACCCGCTAGATATAGTTTACCATTTTAGCATGAAAAATTTAAAAGATCAAAGAATTTTTAATGAATGAGGGAAAGTTTCAGATTTAAGATGTCTCGGCTAAGAAGATTAATAGACAGTGGATTTTTATCCAATTTATCCTTTCAAAACGTGTATATATTTGAATTTTTGTACACTAGTTGGCACAGTGTAAACAATTCTTGATAAAAGAAAATAGATTTTGAATTTTGTTTTTGTCGTTTCCATTCTAAATACTCCAGTCACACAAGTGGCATTTGGAATGTTGTGGTCCACTTTTGTTTCTTGAATCAGTTTTGAAATTCAAGAACGTGTGAACAATGTGCTCTGCATCTTTTTTAATTCCAAATGTTCTGAGATTCCATCTAGTTTTGAAGATATTTTTCAGTGGGAATTTTAAACTGCAAATTGATTGATGTGTATTTTTTTACTGTGTGCTTTGAAAGGTGTCATAAAAGCTAAAACTGAATTTTAGGTTTGAGATCAAATCTGTATAATATGAAACTTGATGTGCCAACAGAAAATCTCCTAACATTCCAGTAATGTTCTATGGACTTGGATTGTAGCATTGCTCTGTTTTCTGCGGGTCATTGTCTCTTTTAGGTATGATTTTTACTGTACCCTGTAACTGTCGCTTTTGTTGGTTTAAACAGGAGTTGGTTTTTAATAAGCATGCCTTATGCCATATTTCAGAATAATCCCGACATTAACCCAAGCAAAAGCTTTCATCTCACTTCGCAGTTGTAAGACACAGACTTGCTTGCTGAATATGTCCAACAAGGGATACCCTGCACGATATGCGGTAAAGGGGAACCCCCAATGTGATGCACAAGCTGTATACCCTAAGGCTATTGAGCCTACTGCACCCCCCTCGGAAATCTGAAAGGAATTACAAAGATTCCATCAACACAAAAGAAGACACAATAGAGGGGGGCCCCCCTTTGCCGCATATCTTGCATCATATGCCACAAAGTGGGCTTTTGTGGACACTGCATGATTCAAAAACATGTCTGGTTCCTGGACTTCAGCCATATTTACGGGCAGAAGGAAATTGTACTTGGCTCTTTATTAGTTGCAGTATCTTGAGCAATTCTTCACAATGTAGAAAACTCCCCTTGTCGGTGTTTTTGTTGCTTACAGTGACCATTACAATGGTTTGGCAAGCTTAAAATGAATCTACCAACTACTGACATAGACACATTTATATCCCAGAGTGTTCAGTAGAGTAGTATTTACATGTACTTAAAGGAGAAAGTATTTAACTTTAGGAACACCACAACCATGTTTTGTTGATTGATTTCATTGTGTGTGATTAGTGAATGCATGAATGTACATTTTTAACCGATAATTTAATTTGCTGATGCTCAGTCCTGTTTGCAAAATTGTTTTTGTGTGCTTTAATTTGGACGTACATGTAGATTTTGTGAAACCCAGAAAACACTCTCTGTATTGGATGGTTTACGGATACCAAAATAAAGCCATTTGATTAATAAAAATCAGAAATTACTGAAGTGCCAATTCATTGGACATTGAGTCAACATAAGTAATGGCCAGCAGAACCACTCCTACTTTACTGTGTCAGTAACTCCATGGCAGATTCCTCGACTTAGATGTGCACTCCTTCCAACTTTGGATCTTGCCCTGTAATAAGCTCCTCATGGGCACTTAGCCTCCAACCCTTCCAATCTAATCCTGACAAGTTTCCAAGACCTCTATTCCTCCCCATTCTAGCCCTAGACTCCCTCCCCAGACATTCAAGCAATGTCTCTTCTCTGTCTCCCATAGGTTTCCAACCAATTTTCAGCAGAGCAGACTTAAGACCCAGCATCATACTGCAACGTACTATCCAAGTTCCATCATCTACTCCCACCAGGAGTCCCAGCCCTCAATGTTCCACCTGACAGTCCGAAGACCTCAACCATCCCAAGCCCTTGGCCATCCACTCCCCAGTCTTCCCATCAGATCTCAACCTCCCTGCCTTAAATTTCGGCAGAAAATATTCT